AGATGTAAGAAACTCATTCATGGTTACAGCATGCTATTGATTTCAGTTATTTTTTCCAAAGGGGGTGCTACTAAATATTAAGTTAAGGGTGCCAATAATTTTGGCCAGTGCATTTTGGGGTTTCTGTGTGGGATTGTATCAGACTTGACTTTTCTTCTGTTTTTTGTTTATGTTGTTCGAACACAAACCAAAGAAACGAACATGTGAGTACCAAAACATTTGCAACTGCAACAATTTTCTAAGAGTTGCATTTTCTGACAGAATTGCAAGGGTGCTAATATTTTTGGCCATGACTGTAAAATCAGTTACTAAAAAGCTTAAGAAAGGACTGTTACCAATAAGTGTGTTACTAATACTGCTGTATTATACTATGCACACATAAACACACACATATACATACATATTATACGCTAATTTAAGATTACACTTCAGGTATCCAGTGAAGTCGATATTTGTCTGCACAGTCAACATAATAACAATTTTGGTTTTAAAAAAAGTTACTGTCCCCCGTCCTCTTCTGTTCTGGATGGTTTTCAGAATATATGGGTGTACAACAAAATTTAAAACTAAATGCTGTAGTTGGGAGCACCTTGAAGAGTTGGATCACAAATGTTTCCGAGGCAGTGGCCCATAACCCACCAAAGCTCACGTTGAAATTAACCAAGCAAAAACAAAAGAGAAAACAAAGACAAAAGCATAATTTTAATGTAAGCTTTCGTGGACCATCTTAGCCCCCTTTGTCAGACATATAAAGTGGAAAGCTGGGATTAACATGGTAAAACATTCATGCTGAACTCTTGGGAAAGTCAGGGGTGTCTGCCTGCATTTCACACGTGCCACAGTGTATGACCTCTGTTTGGTACAGTATTCAGTTTTAGAAACATACCAGAACTGCTACTCTCTGACAACACTCCTTATATTACAAGACAAGTGGCCAAATTCTGTGCGGCAGCAATGGTTATTCGTAATCAAATGTTTGGATAGGTGATTTTAGATGAATATATTTTTAATATAACACTGATTGAGGTTTTATTTATATCAAGGATACATGATATTATTAACTGGAAAGAAGGGTTGTTTTATCATGTTTTATTGGAATTTTATTACCCTGACTGATCTTACCAAGCTATAATTATATGTATCTATTTTATATTGATTTGGTTTTACTGGTCTTTGACCGTAATAAAGTATTCATTCATAAACATACCAGCAAGAGACAGAAAACCGGGCAAAAACAGAGAGGGAGAAAACTAGACCAACGTAGGCATTAAAATGATTAAAAGAAAAAGTAGGAACAATGTGAAATTAACGTTAGTTTTTCAAGTGCAGCAACTCTTGTTTTTAATCTGTATTATACAGAACTGGCGTTGGTTTGAACGGGCGCCGGCAGGAGAGAAGTGCTTCCCCGCCTTCAAATCCAAACTAAGAGAAAAACTGGCCAAGCTGGGGAGCCTGCATTTAAATCCTCGGTCCTCTTTTGCACAATTCATGGATGCGCACATCCACGCACGCTCCCGTCTCCCTAACAAGCAAAAGTCACATTTTCTTCGCAGAGCGAGAAGGCGAGTTGCTCGGTGGTTCGGTACTCGACCAGGCCGAGCGGCTGAAAGGAGGGATAGACGCGCGCGCGGCGGTTGGCGCCGCACTCGATGTCTCGGCGCTCGGACATAGCCCTTCCCCAGAACCCCGCCTACTCCGGCCGGCCTCGCTCGCTGATTGGGGGAGAGCTCTCCTCCTCTCGGAGAGTCCCGCGCTTCGCCATCTTAGCCCGGGAGAAAAGGAACGCGAGCGCGGGAACCGTTGCCTGGCGTGAGGTGGCGGCGGTTGGGTTTTCGTGCCCCCTTCGTGCGGCCTCCCATCATGAGCGGCGCCGACTCTACGACGGGGCCTTGTGCCGGCTCGAGCTTCCTGCCCCTGCTGGAGACTCTGGAGGACCCCGTTGCTGCCCCGGAGGTGCTGACAGACGCGCTGCTGACCCTCACGAAGTGAGTCTCGCCCGAATCCCAGCGAGGAAGGTGGCAGACAGTCACCCCCTCCCGCTCCCCAAGGATGGGGGGCCGGCCCGCAAAAGGGACTGCGACGTGGACCTGGCCCGGATGCCGAGCCCCCCTGCTTGTGCCCCCCCACCATCCCCGAACATGTCAAAGTTTGCGAAAGAAGGTGCCTCTGGACATAGATGGTGTGCCTTTGGGGAAGACCTCGGGCTGATCAGAGGTTTCCAGTGGGGGGTGGGCTCCTCTCTCTCTTCTCTCTCTCTCTCTCTCTCTCTTTCTTTTGGCACTTACTGGGGGGGGTCTTAAAATTCGTCTTCTTAAGGTTCCTCCGCCTGTGTGTAGATAGCCATATCGTTGTTTTAAAAGTCCCACGATCCAAACTATCGTGAAATGTTTGCACAGGTTTACATGGGCTTCTGGGAGCCACATAGGTGGTTGTGTTCTGATATGGTTCATTAACACTGAATCACAGGGGACCAAGGGATGCTTTTTCCAGCTTTGGGAAGGGTTTCCTCGTCCTGTGTATTTCCATCTGCCATACAAATAAATGCACGCACAGGTGTCCTTCAAGGCCAGGTTTTGTGCTTTGGAAAAAAAACTTTAAAGAGCAAAATGCAACCAAGTGTATCAGTACTCAAGGAAGTTCAAACTTTGTTGATATTTTGGCAGTAGCAGCAGCAGCGAAAAAGCCATTCTTCTCTGCCACCGGTGCATCTACACAGAGTTGTTCAGCTGAGCCCTTTCGAATGGTCAAGGACCTGTTACATCATGGGGGCCCTGGAAGAGAATGCACACCACATTGTAGCTTGCTGTGAAGAATTTGAGCACCCGTTTGCAGGCAAAACCACTCAAATCTGCTCAGATCTGGGTGTTTTCGGTGATACAGGCCCTATGAGTGTAACTGGGGCCCTGTTTTTCCTGTGTCAGTGGATAGGTTTCAGCTTTTGCAGCTTGATGATGTGGACAGGGCCCTTGGAGAGGTGAAGGCTACATGTCTGCTGGACCCTTGCTCGTCCTTGGGTTATGAAAGCTGCCAGAAAGGCATTGGTGGAGTGGGTGAAAGGAGTGGTGAATGCCTTCTTGCAAACAGGGTAGGATCCCAGCATGTTCAAAGGAGGCAGTAGCAAGACCATTGTTGAAAAAGCTGTCCCCTGATATTCCATTCTTGGATAAAGTGCTGGAGTGGGTCATGACTTCTCACCTCAAGAGGCTCTTGAATGAGACAGGTTATCTAGATCCATTTCAGGTTATCTAGATGGAGACTGCTTTGGTTGCCTTGGTGGAAGTTATCTAGATCCATTTCAGCCTGACTTCAGACCTGGTTATGGGACGGAGACTGCTTTGGTTGCCTTGGTGAATGGCCTATGCTGAGAACTGGACAGCGCTAGTGTGGCCATGTTGGTTCTGATGGGTTTTTTAGTGCCTTTCAGTACCATCAACCATGGTATCCTTCTAGGCCATCTCTCTGCAGTGGTTCTTGGAGGCACTGTTTTACAGTGGCTGTGGTGTATCCTTCTAGGCCATCTCTCTGCAGTGATTCTTGGAGGCACTGCCTGTTGCCCTGTCCCTCAGGGTTCTGTTTTGTCCCCTGTGCTATTTAACATCTACATGAAACCACTGGGAGCGGTCCAGAGTTTTGGGTTTGGTATCACCAGCATGCAGATGACACTGAACTATTTCTCCCTTGCCATCTAAATCCAAGGAAGCTATTCTGGCTTTAGATTTTGTGCTGGATGGAGTTAACCTCCCCCTGAAAACACAGGTGTGCAGCTTGGGATGTTCCTGGATTCATCTCTTAACCTGGATCCCTAGGTTTTGGTAGTGGCCAGGAGTGCACTGGAACAGTTAAAACTAGTGTGCTAGTTGTTCCCTCTTCTTGAGAGGTTTGGTTTGGCCGTGGTGATACCTGCCTTAGTTACATCCTGACTTGATTCCTGTAATATATTCTGTGTAGAGCTGCCTTTGGAAAGTGTTCAGAAACACCAGCAGGTCGAAAACTGTGATACATTCTATGTGGAGCTGCCTTTGGAAAGTGTTCAGAAACACCAGCAGGTCGAAAACACTGCAGCCAGATTGTTAATTGGGGCTGGTCAAGGGATCACATAACCCCCGTGCCTTTGGAAAGTGTTCAGAAACACCAGCAGGTCGAAAACACTGCAGCCAGATTGTTAATTGTGGCTGGTCAAGGGATCACATAACCCCCGTTACAGCAGCTCCACTGGCTGCTGATCTGTTTCTAGGCATAGTGCTGATTTTAACTTATAAAGTCCTAAACAGCTTTTTAGGAACCTTGGACCAAGGGTCCAAGGTTCCTTTTAAATTAGAAGTTGGGAAGCCTACCTCTCAATCTGCTCTTCTCAATCTGTTCTGGCATGTGGCTGGTCAAGGGATCACATAACCCCCGTTACAGCAGCTCCACTGGCTGCTGATCTGTTTCTAGGCATAGTGCTGATTTTAACTTATAAAGTCCTAAACAGCTTTTTAGGAACCTTGGACCAAGGGTCCAAGGTTCCTTTTAAATTAGAAGTTGGGAAGCCTACCTCTCAATCTGCTCTTCTCAATCTGTTCTGGCATTTATTTATTTTGCTATTAAAGACACCCCTGCCAAGACTTCCCCAGGGCAAAAGAGAATCCTAGAGAGCTTCAGAACTTGGAAAAAGAGGATAAGAGGTTTTCAGTTCATTTAAAATAAATATTACCAGTACACTACTGAATAAAGTTGTCCAGTTCCATGGTGTAACTTTATGCCAACAGGATTTTGGCAATGGCAATACCACAGTGAGTTCCAGTGAATGCATTGTTTAAGATTATGCTTTTATCTAGGATTACAAGTTTTGCCTTCTTTCAGCTCAGTTCCAAAACACAGTCGGCTTCTTTTTACTCTGTTCAGATCAGTGTTTTAGACTAGCCACTTTTCCTTTACCTTTATAATACTTGTCGCACACCCCCAGTTCCCCTACTCAGGTTCACCTTTGGGCATGACTTCTTCTTTTCTTCCTTTTTATGCTGCCACCAAAGGATATTCTCACTGTATCAAATATGAATAATGGATCAATGCTGTCAAATATAACAATGTTTATTTATAGGTAAATTACATAGGGAAAATCATGGATGGTCTTGTATTATTCATTCATTAAATGTGCTTTGGACTTTAGATATGTTTACTTATATAGATTCACTTTAAACACAGTGTTACAATATTCAAACAGTTTATTTTATTTCTTACTACTTTTAACTCCTTCAGTTCTCACATACGCCAGCTTCCCAAATCCTTGTCCTAATCCTAACTGTCTCTCTTAACGCTTTCAATCCCTCTGTCTGTCTCTTCTTCTCTCTACTTTTAACGCTTTCAATCCCTCTGTCTGTTTCTTCTTCTGTCTAACTCTCCAACTGCCCAAACTGTCCCAAACTGTCTTTTTTTTCTTCTTTTGTTCCATTGGTTCCGCCCCTCCTGTCCTATCAACTGCCCAAACTGTCTTTTTTTCTTCTTTTGTTCCATTGGTTCTGCCCCTCCTGTCCTATCATAGGCTCCCACACCAGAACTCTAACCTGATGGACAGGAGTGATGCGTGAGCTGTCCCTCACAGTACTTCTCTAAGGTGTTTCACTAGCTAAAAGGATGTTGCTTAGCATAACCAATCACACCAGAGTAAGCCCATTGAATCAGTGGAGATGTTGTGTGTCTACTCTGTAAGTAGCATTGATTCAGTGAATCCCAGTGAGTTTACTATAGTATGATTTACTATGCTAAGCAATAGAATTCTGGCCACTGTGTGGTAGAATCCTTGATTTTAGGAAAGACATTAAAGCACTGCAAACTGGTTGCTATTATGGAGCATATCCTGGCATACAGAATACCTTAGTTTTCATAATCCAGACAAACACAAAATACAGTGGTGCCCCGCATAGCGACATTAATCCGTTCCTGGATTAACATCGCTATCCGGATTCTTCACTATGCGGGGGGGGGGGAACCCATAGGAACGCATTAAACTCAGTTTAATGCATTCCTATTGGGGAAAAACTCGCCGGTAAACGAAGAATCCCCCATCCAGCCGCCATTTTCACCGCCTAGGTAAGCGAGGGCAGGGCGTGAAAATGCTGCGGGCGGCCATTTCCCCCCCGCTGGGCGGCGCTGGCTTGGCGGCGCTGGCTTCGGAGCGGCCACCGGGGAAGCCTCCACCGCGGTCGCTCTGAAGCGCCCGCCGGTCAGCTGGGGGGAAATGGGGCCTATGGGGAAACATCGCAAAGTGATATTTCCCCATAGGAAACATCGCAATGCAATCGCTTTTGCGATCGCACAATCCGCATCGCTATGCGGATTCGTCGTTAAACGGGGTGCTCATTATACGAGGCACCACTGTAAAAGGAAAACAAATGACATAGTGGTACCTTAAAGACTGTTTTATTCCAGCACAAGCTTTCATGGATCAATTTACTTTGTCCAGCAGTCTTTGCATTTAGTTTGTAGTATTACTGAAGTGCTATTCAGGTATTTCTTTTCTTCTCTGCTCATAGAAGAAGTCAGAGGTGGATGGTCCAACTGTGTCACCTCTTTGTGTGACATCATCATGTTGATTGGAATGGGCTACAGAGAAGTTAGAAGTGTGTTGAGCTGAATAAGGTCACAGAACTGCATGGTACCAGGAATCTGATAAAGAAGGATTCCCTGTTGCATGGAGCTTTGGTACTTTAGTTCCTTTGGATCGCATCAGAATTCTTTGGTAGACTTTCTCTGTCAAGATGGGGAGAAGGACAAGGGTGGAAGATGAATTGCGGAGTCCTCTCACAGGCTTCAAAACAGTTTCTGAATAGGACTTAAAACAAAAGAATGGTCATGCTTTATTTCCTTGGCATTGTCTTCCTGTCTTAAACAACTTCCAGGCATTGTGTTTGTTAGCCAGTGGTTTAGGTATCTGGCTGCAGAGCCCAAGGTTGGGAGTTGTAATTCCCTACTCTGCCACTGGGAGAAAAGGCAGCCTGCATGATCTTGGGCAAGTAGTCCCAGGGCATCCCCACAAGAAGGGAATGGTAACCCATGGATAAAAGTGGATAAAAATACCAATACCTGAAAAGGGTCACCGTAAGTCAGAATTGACTTGACAGCACATGGTTATTATCATGCTTTATTCTGCAATACTGTGTTTTAGTTAAGGTGGTTTAATCAGGGCACTTGTTTTTAGCTAAATATTTTTAATGTATTTCCTGAACTGTGCTTGATCATGTATGCTAGAATGTCTAATGAAAACCTTTTGATTTTTTTTAACTTTTAAGTCGTCTGACAGGTGAGGAAGGAAAAGAATTTGCTGCTGAAGTTGGAAAATACTTCCCTCAGCTCTGTAAGATATTTAAGGTTGGTGTTCTGTAACCATCTTCTGTGACTGTTTTCGATAGGCATTTTAGTGCCATCAGCCTGTGCAACAGTTACGGTACTGGAAGAGCCTGTCCTCTTTCAGTCCCATAGTTCCACAGTCTTTACCTCCAGAGTCATAGCTATCAGATTCTTCACAACACTCATTTCACTTGCTTAGCACATATGTTTTTGAAATGATATATGACTCTGGACTTCATCTGAAGAAGAAGGCTGGAGCTGCATCTTTGTGACACTTCTATGCACAGTTCCAGCTGTGTTCGAATCTGCTACTGAAAATTCTTTTGTGAAAAGCAGCATGTGATTGATGCTGTAGACCTGATGCTAAAAGAAGGAAAGTAAGATTCAGTGGCCAAAATTCTGTTGCTTACTGTAGTCAGTTAGACTAGAGTAGACCTTTTGAAACAGTGAGAATTTAGTGACTCAACTCCTCCTTAAGTGCCATTGATTCAAGTGAACCTACTTCAGTTGCAATTTATTCTGCTAAAGCAAGCTACTATTTATTTATTTACTTACTTATTCATTCATTCATTCACACTCTACAAGAGTAGACTCATTTGAATCAGTGGAACTTACGGAGGAGCATCTCACTTAAGTCCCCTGATCTAGTGCGATTTAGTACACTAAGCAACCAGATTTTGATTGATGTAAAAAATCTGTGCATTGACATTTGCACGTGTATAAAGGAATTTTCATGTAATGTCTAAATTTCTTTGTGTTAAAAGAATAGATTTCTTCAGTTTTTCTTTATTTTTTCCATTAGGAAAAAATTTTAAGATTTGAGTCTTAATATATTTAATCTGTCATGGTGATTCAGAGAAATAACTTGGAAACAGACTGGTTTTTTGATAAGAATATGTTTATACTCAAAAGTTTTTTGAGTATAGTATGTGATAAGTTTTTTTAAGAATATAAATAATAGGTGCCTGTTTTTAGCTGATGATGACGTTTTAAGTCTTGAACACATAAAGTAATTCATTAGTAAGGTCACACAGCTTTAGCCTTTCTCCTTTTCTTTTACAGACACATATTCCTACTGAAAACACAGAATTGTGCAGTGCAGCCTTGCAAGCTTTGGGATTCTGTGTGTTTAACTCCAAGATTGCTTCGTTACTTTGTGGTAAACATATTTTTCTTTCTTTCAAGAATTGCTAACCAGTATCTAATCCAGTCTGAATTTCATAGGCAATGATGTTGTTGTTGTTTTAACTTGTGTAGCGCTCCATAGTGCTAAAGCACTCTCGGGGTGGTTTGCAACGTAATTATGCAGGCTATGCATTGCCATCCCCCCCAACAAGCTGGGTACTCAATTTACCAAATTTAGAAGGATGGAAGGCTAGGTCAGCCTTCAGCTGGCTACCTGAGCCTGTTGGGTTCAAACTCGGGTGGTGAGCAGAGGCTTTGATTGCCGTTTAACAGCTGTGCCATGGGGCCCTCCTCTTACTTCATCTCATTTACATGTCTGTTACATACAGTGTTGTTTTACATAAATGTGTCTTTAACATACACTGTCATATTGCAACTCATATTGGACCATTGTGTATCACCGTTTGTGTGATTGTTCTGAATTACTAAAGCACTCCGTGAATGCTGCTCTATGCCAGTTTTATGACACTTAAACTCGGGAAAGAGCAACCTCTTGATGCTTGCCCTGGGTCTGCAATGATGCTGTTGTTTCAGCGTGGAGAACTAAAGGTTATGTGGAGAAAAGCTAACAGGTGTTACAGGTTCTTGGCCATTTGAAAATGGGCACAGAAGATACTGAAGTAGTTTAGATCTCAGTTCTAGGGAAACTGCTGCTGTTCTGTATGTTCTTAAGCACAAAAGCACCCCACCATGCTCATGGTGAAATTAGTTGGTGGAAATAAAGAAAAACATGTTTATTTTAATTTTTTTAAACAGAAACTGAAATACAGGGATTACTTTCAATCGTGAACAGTGTTGCTATAAAGTCAGTGGATAAAAATACCCTCACTAGAGCACTTTGGGTGATCTCTAAGCAGTCCTTTCCTCCGGAAGTTGTTGGGAAGCTGGTAAGTGCCTTAGATTGATCTTTTATTAACTGAACATTTGTTAAAATGTGTAGAGTGATTATTTATGTCTTTCTCTGCTTTGCAGGTGCCCAGTATTATTTCTGTGCTAGAAACAGTGCTTAATAAAGGAGACTTGCATTCCATGGTGGTTGAATACGAAGCACTAAATGTTATCATCCGGTACGTGCTATATATTACATTGATGAACGAATCAGTCAGAATTAGAAAAGGAGAGAAAATCGGTGTCATCTTGATTTGTTTACTCTCTAAACCAGCATAGGGAATTTAAAGCCCTCTAAATGTTAGTGCTTGAGAACTTGAGTTCTCTCTCATCATTGACTCTGCTTCCTGTCTAATGCTGTGAGGAGGTGGTAAGGTAACAACGTCTGGAGGGTGACAGGGTGCCCATCCCTGCAGTCTAAACTCATTGTTAGTGTATCCATAGTGAAGCCCCAACCATATTTGTGCTATTGCCCATGATAGTGTTGCAGTTTTGATACAGTGCACCTCTACAAACACTTTGTAGTAGGTTGTGCCTCTTGGAAACTGCTTGCATTGCTTTCTACTTAAGATGAGGACCATTAGTGAAGTACTTAATTCTGCTGTATCATCATATCAGCCTTATAAATGGTTGCTGAGAAGTCGTACACAACAAATCCTGTGGTGCACCTAAGCACTTGTGAATCCTGATGGTGTCATTTATTGTATTTATTTATTTAAAATATTTTTACCCTGCCTTTCTCCTTAAAAAGGACCCAAGTCAGCTTACATCCTTCAGTTTTACAATATTTAAAGCTGCAAACAATGAGTTTACAGTGGTGGTTTACATCATTAAAAACCATTTTGAAAGCAAAGAGCAATGAGTATAAAGAGGCAGCTTACATCATTAAAAGACGACATTAAAGCTAAAACAGTAAGGAGGCAAATACCAAAAAGGAACACACAAATATTTGAAGCTTATATACTCTAGTCTACAGGAAAACACACTGAATTGTAAAGTAAAATATTATGTCCTATAGTGAAATTAACATTATTTCTAATTTACAATTTTACAATAGCTTGAAATTGCACAGGTAAAATAACATCAAGAAAGACCTCTGTGGCAGATCTGTTAGCATTCCATTGTGACTGGAAAGGAATTACAATTGTTGTACACTGAAGTACAGTAGAAAAGCAATATTTGTTTCTGTTTATTATGATTTTTCCCCATTAAATATTGGATTATATTGGCAGAATTATTTCAGTGTATGTCAGATGTAGTGATGCAATACAATATATGATGATAATTCGAGCACATCTCTGTGCATGTATAGAGTGGATGATAGTACAAAGTAATGCAGAAAGTGCAAAGTGTAGTAGAATATGCAGCTTTGTTATCATCTCAGTATAAAATTTAATTTGATAGTGCACAGGATCCCTAAATTTAAGTCTTGACTGTACTTTTAACCATAATGCCTTGCTTTCCCTCTCTATTTCTGCTTTGAAGAGCCTCATGGCGCAGTGGTTAAACCGCTATACTGCAGCAAAAACTGTGCTCATGACCTGGGGTTCATTCCCAGGTAGCCGGCTCAAGGTTGACTCAGCCTTCTATCCTTCTGGGGTCGGTAAAATGAGTACCCAGCTTGCTGGGGAGGGAATGCGTAGCCTGCATAATTAACTTGTAAACCGCCCAGAGAGTGCTTGAAGCACTGTGGGGCAGTATATAAGCAGCACGCTTTGCTTTGTGCTGAAGGGATCTACAAATGCCACTCTGAGAGGTTGTAAACACAAGTAGTGCTGAAGACCAAGTCAGAGCAGTAATGCATGTCAGTCATAAGCGTTTAATCTTTTAAGTTGCCTATTTTGCCCCTCTCCTCAGATTCTGAGGCTCCCTGGGGATTCCTGTTGACCTTTAGGAAGCCTTTGGGAGCTTCCAGATGGTGGGGAGAAGTGATTAAGATTGAAAAATTGCTGGCAGTGGTCCCGATTCTGCTGGCAGTAATTTTCAGGCATTAAATGTCCCCTGTCTCAAGGCTCCCAAAGGCTTCCTGAGGTTGAAAGGGATCCCTAGAAAACTTCAGTATCTGAGGAAGGTCTAAAGATTAAGGTCTATGGCTGATAATGTCATCAGAATTTATGTCTGCATGGTTGTGCAACAGTTTTGATTACTAAATGCTATAAGCGTGCATTAGTGCTTATTTTCAGGGGATGTTTTATTTTTTTTCCATGTACAACTATCTACATTTATTCAGATACAGTCATGTCATCTGCTGGTTGCTGCACAATGGTGGAGGGAGCAAAAATTATACTAATTTTTGCTCCAAAAATGCATTAGAGCTTATTTTCAGGGGATGTTTTATTTTTTTCCATGTACAACTATCTACATTTATTCAGATACAGTCATGTCATCTGCTGGTTGCTGCACAATGGTGGAGGGCAGGGTTTCACTTAACTGGGGCTTATTTTGGGGTTAGGGCTTATATTATGAGCACCCTGAAAAATCATACTATAGTTTATTTTCAGGTTAGGTCTTTTTTTCGGGGAAACAGGGTAGTATTGGAAACTTTGCTATTTCCGTGGTGTAGCAGGGAACAAATTATGTTGACGGCTTTCCAGCTTCCTTGTGCTAGAGAAGCCTTTGCTGTGGACGGTCCCCTACCCATTGGAGTGAATTGAGGAGCATAGTCTTTGGTGGACACATGATTTATTTGCATTGCTGTCCCAAGTTTTTGTTTTCAACAGCCAGGTTCCAGTTTCTTTTAATAGATGGCTGCACAGTATTTTGGAAGCCTGGGCAAGTAGTGTAAGGGATATTCTAAATACTGTGTGTATGTCTTTGTTCAGGCTTATTGAGCAAGCTCCATCTGCTATGGAGGAGCAGGCTGTGAAGTGGGCCAGGTTGATCATTCCTTTGGTTGTCCATCCGGCTCATAAAGTGCAGCTAAGAGGGGCCACTGCACTGGAGATGGGAGTGCCACTTTTACTTCAGAAGCAGCAGGAGGTGGCAGCAGTTACCGAAGAACTCATGACTGCAGTAAGGGAGGCAAACATTCTATTTTTTCAAATTGCAGGACTGCACCATATACTTGAAAGCCTGTGACAATTCTTGCGTATCGGAACTATTGTTCAGTCCTTATATGATTGTCTGTTAATAGTTTTACATGAACATTTGGAATTGTTTTGCATAAAATTGTAACTTGGACTTTTTAAGGAAAGGCCTGGATATGAAAGATCACAACTCATAAAATAAAAATTTTACAGATGTATCAGTTTCAGCCAAGGCAGCCATCTGGTTGGTTAAAATACTGAGAAAACACATCCATATGATTGTACAGTAGGATCATAGTATCCAAGCCCCCGCCCCCAGGACAGATGGCAAAAAGCATGGGTATAAAAACTCTGTATATAGTATAGTTTCTGGTTTGCTCTAGTGGCCAGTTCAGGCAGTATGCCTTGGTAACACCTATTTCTGGGGTTTTATGTTTAATGTTTTCAGACAGTAGATAAGTGAAACTGCAGGTATTGATCCAGATGTCTTACTCTACAGCAATCTGAGTTGAGGAACATGCAATGTAATAAATACAGTTAAGAACTGAGACATGATCTTAGCCTTGCATGTGTTTGAAGATAAGAAGAAATTTGCAGGAATAGCCTTAACGTCCATCTGGGTTTGCAGTGGCACTTTGTTGTCCAAGAGGTCAACCAAATGCTTTTGGGAAGCCCTCTAGCAAGACATGAAGGCAACAGAGTTTTTTGTTATAGTGATGTAGGATGCTGATGCTTTCCATTAACATGTATCCCAAGATCTTTCCAGCCACTGAAAGTTCAGGTGATGATTTGTGTGCAGGTTGCAGATGGGAGCAGCCAAGTTATTGTCTTTATAAATTTTGTATGTTACAGAAAATAATTCCAGAACTCCAAAAGCTTTTTTCATCAAAAAATGAGACATATGTTTTGAAGCTTTGGCCTCTGTTTGTAAAGCTGCTGGGCAAAGTAAGTTGGCGAGAAATTTTTTGTTTGCTTGTTTTCACCTAATCTAGGCACTGTTTGTGCATTTGTATTAACTCTGTATGTTCCCTTCCAGGCACTGCATCGTAGTGGAAGTTTTATCAATTCATTGCTGCAATTAGAAGAACTTGGATTTCGTAGTGGGTCACCTGTGGTAAAGAAAATCGCTTTCATTGCATGGAAGAGTTTGATAGATAACTTTGCTCTAAATCCAGGTAGACTAAAAAATCAAACCATTTTGGCTTTTATTGGCATGTGAATTCTACTGAAATCCATGGGATTTGCTCTCAGAAAGGAAACAGGTCATTTGAGGAGGGAGGATTCAGCAGTGCACTACGACAGAAAATAAAGGGGTGCTCCGTTGTCACACAATCTGTTATTTCCTTTTTGAAGCAAAACCCATGGATCTCTGTGAAATTCAAGGTTAATTAAATGTGTGTAGGACCTGAGAGTTTTATGCTTACAGGTAAAAGCAATGGAAAGCTTGAAATGCTGCAGTTTGCATGAAGCATTTACAGCTTCTTAGGATTAATATCTCTACAGGTTTGAAGTGACTTCTAGTAGTATTGCATAACTTTTCTCACTAATAAATACAGCTAGTAACATGGCACCAACAGGTAAACTTGTGCTGTATGGAAGAAAGCCACCAGAAGTGTCCTTTGGATGTCTAGAGAAAAGTAGAGTCTAGCCGGTCATCCAGATTCACATGAAATGTGGCTGCAAGATATGTCATTTAATGCATGGGTTTTAAACTCAATTTACCTGGGGGCCGCTAGAGACAGAGTCTGGGTGAGGCTGGGCCGCATCAGATTGTCCGCCAAGTGGAGCAAGAGCCCGAGGAAGCCACCCAGGAGTTTCCTTAGCCGACAGACAGGTGGGCTGGCTGGCAGGCTGCAGTTCTGAATGGAGGGTGCAAGAGGTGCTGTCTTGGGAGAGAGCCGGCGAGCGAGGCAAGGCTTTTTTAAAAAAACTTGACAGCAGAGGATGTGTGGGCGCTTTGAGGGGGAGGCAAGGTGAGGGCCACAAACTATCATCTGGGGGGCCGCATGTTTGAGACCCCTGATTTAATGGCTGCTGCTGAACCTTCAAATTGGTGTTGCTCCCTTAACTTCTGATTTGAAGGATTGCCATTTTCCCTCACTTGAATTATAAGATCAGGCTGCTGTTAAGGTTTTTTTCCTGCCATCTCAAACAAAACTTTGAATGTCCTACTTTGATGGTGCAGATCCCTGGTTGTGTATTGTTGTGGCAAATAGCGAGGAACAAGCTTGAAATTCTTTTTTCACAAAGTCATATAGTCCTTAGACAAGCCACAGTAAGTAATGATACAAGAATAGTAGTCTGCATTCCAATGTTGTTAGCTTTCTGTTTGTATACAAAATGCTTTGAACACCCACAAGCAGAATGCAGAGGTTGAGTGTAATGCTGTGCAATGTCTATAAGCACTACTGGTGTTTGTGAGCCGTTTCCATAAATTGATGCAGCTCATTGGAGCACATCTCATTTGCAAAGTAAAAGGCTGCAATTTTAAATCTGTTTCTTTTGTAAGAGTAAATATGGGTGAGCCAGTCAGACTTACATCCAAGTATATGTGTTTTACAACTGTGGTGTTACTGTTATAAATTGAGGTTTAGACAAATTACTGACGGGCACTTTTGGTAGATACCCAGATAGTTAAAATGAAAGACCAGCAGCAACAATTTTCAGTCATTTAAGAATTCCTGCCCCATCCTCCTGTCCCCAAAGGCTTCCTCCAGACCAAAAGGATCCTAAGAAAATCTAGAATTTTTCTGGGGTGTGTGTGTGGAATTTTTGTTATTGAAGTATGGCCACAGCTGATGATGCCATTAATCTTGGATGGCCATCACACTTGAATGACATCAGGTACTGGATTTCAACCAATAGAATTATTGCATAGCTAGAAAATGTGCTGGCAGTGGCAGAGGGATTTCCCTGTTTTGTGGCTCTGCATATCTCACTGCTTGTCACCCTCGCCACACAGTAGCATCTTCACAGAACCTTGATACGTTAAATAAAGGGGGACTCAGTAGCTCCCGTCATTGAAATAGCTGCAGTTCCAAAGTTCTGGAATTTGCAGAGGCTTTGGAAGCGGGTGGGAGAATGTGTTCAAACATGCTTACTGTATTACTAATCAACATTAATACAAATATGCATTAGTAGCAATCCTGCTTGTATGTGTAAAGTATGTCAGCCATTTAGGTAAGTATAACAATCATTGTTTTCAATTTTTGTGTCCAAAGATATCTTGTGCAGTGCAAAGAGGCTGAAGTTGCTTATGCAGCCTTTGAGCTCAATCCATGTGAGAACCGAAGCTCTGGCATTGACGAAAATAGAGGTCTGGTGGTACTTACTGATGAGGCTTGGACCTCAGCTGCCTGCCCACTTTGAACAGGTAACCTCCTCTTGTATATTACAAAAATAATAAATAGTCTTAAAATTGACTTTCTGAAAGGTTCTCTCACTTGGGTTTCTGTGTTTTCAACAAGTAAGCAATTTAAACAACATTAAAGAATGTTTGCATTTACAATGACAGCAGCAGTCGGATCTGAAAGTCTGATAGATAAGGACTACTTGAATAGGCTGAATCTGATGAGATTAGTGAAGTTAATTCTGCTTAAAATAGCATAAAACAGCTATTATGCAGTCTCCAGTTCTAAACCTAAATACTGTATAACAAGGGAGGGAAGAATACCAAAATGTAGCTGTATTTCTTGGAGGATTTATAGCAGCGAAATTAAAATTGTAAGGTAGCAACACTGATGTACTAATTTTAGCCTTTAAGGCTAAAACTTAAGGCTAAAATTTAAAGGTGATGTAAAGAGTCTGTAGCTCTTCATATATTGCTGAACTGCACCTTCAGATAGGCACACCAGTGAGTAAGTTGGCTGCTACGAATGGGAGCCGAAATCCAAACTCGTCTGGAAGAGCAGAGGTTCCTCACCCTTAGAGCCCGGTTCCACTGACAATGAGCCACTGTTTAATATGGTTTTGCTTTTTAAAAATCAGTTTAAATTTAGGTGTCTCCGTGATGTAAATGGAAGCATGGATTTTTAAATTTTATTTTATTTTGCCTGGGAAGCATGTTTTTTGGATGGGAAGAGAGATAAAATACTCCTCTGCCAGAGGGTTGTCTATATTAAATTGCTTGTGAAATTGAATTATTTCAGTCACTTCGGCATATGCAAACCCTTCTGTGGGTGTAAGTTGCATCTTTGCCAGCAGAGAGGTGAAAACTGGGCCGGAAGGGAGGAGGACCATCGGTGACAGAGACAGGAAGAAGAGAAAGCGGGGGCCAGAGGCAGGGACAGTAACAAGCTGCCGCTGTGGCCTGGCCCCAGGAGCCAGGCCAGAGGAGTGGCGGCAGCAAAGCTGGATCACTGTGGCTGAGCAAGCACCCCATCGCCCAGCAGTGAAGGGCAATGAAGCCGATGGGCTGCATCCTGGAGCGCAGCAGGACGTGGAGAACAGTCTGTGCCTGCTTGGCTGAGAGGAGCGGCGGCCATGAAGCCAGGATGCTGCGGCTGAGCAGCAGCTGCTGCCACCTCTCTCTTCCCCCCCTCCAGCTAGGGTTTCCCCTTTCACCCCAGCTGTGCGTGAGTTTGTTTCTGCATTTTTGCTGCGTGTCAGATTCCTCCCCAGGCATGCAGACATACACACTGGCCTTTTCCCGCCTTGCATTGGAGAGAGCGAGTGCACAGATCTGGCAAGGCTTTCCCTTCAAAACCACCAGATTAAACGTTTGTTCCAAGGGAACTTAAACTGCATATTGAACACCACGTGACTCAGAGTTGATTTAACTTGATTTCCCTTTAATGTAACGCTTTAATGTAGACAAACCCTTATTTAAGCTAAAAGTAGTACCACTGAGGCAAATAGCAATGAGGCAAAAATGTCTATCAGTGTTGCCTTTTAATCCTCAAAGCTGAGGAGACTTTAAACATGTTTGTTAAAATCAGGAGACTGTGACAGTTGTGTGATTAATTCATTGCTGCAGATGCTGTACTTCTGCTGTTCTGTTCCCTATTATGCCTTCATGCTCTGGCATGCATTTATCCTGTTTGCTTTAAATGGGGCATCTATAGAGTAGTCTGTTAGGTTGAGCAGTTGGAAACAAATTTGTCTAGTTATTCATTTGCCCCCATGTTGTGATGCCTTTTTTTCTTTTTTAGGTGTGCATACCATTAATTCAGAGCACTTTAAGCTTAGATGCCTCTTTACCACAAGGAAATTCATCACGGTTATCTATTAACCAGAGCTTACCAGGTTCTGCACAGAAGTCAGGTAAGGGGGCAAACCTTTCTAACTGCTCTTGAAATTCAGCAAATCTGTCATCTAAGAGTTGGCATCAATTTCCTAGTTTACAGTACTGGGAAAATAAAACACAGGAGTCCCCTGTGTGCAGGCTGAGTTCTTTTTTAAAGCCTGGTATTCAATGGTGATAATACAAAGTGGTATCTTAGGGAATGTGTGTGCTATCAAGATAGAAATTACATACAGGGACATTAATAGTGCTTCCAAAGTCAGTGAAGTATTTAAGGACTGGATTTATCAGTTCCACTCTGTAAGTGAGTTTCCATGGCTAAGTGGGGATTCAATTGGATTTATGAGTTCCACTCTGTAAGTGAGTTTCCATGACTAAGTGGGGATTCAAACCTGAGTCTCCTGAATCTTAGTTCATCACTCTGTTCACTACAACACACTGGGTAACCAGCAAATGTATATGCATACTGAATTTAAATGCTGGATATTTTTGTTCTGGAGTGGGCAGTTTTGCTATCCACACAGCACTTTGTAGAAGAACTTGAAAAAGAAAATTGCTAAGACTGATCTCCTTCCCTGAAAAGTTTACTCTCTAATGTAATTTATACACTTTAGAAAGATCCAGAGTTGTTGAAATGTTAAATATTACAGCATTGGATATACAGTGGTGCCCCGCATAGCGACGTTAATCCGTTCCGGATTAATCGTCACTATCCGGAAACATCGCAATGCGGGTGGGAAAACCCCATGGAAACGCATTAAACTTAGTTTAATGTGTTCCTATGGGGCCCAAACTCACCGTTATTCGAAGATCCTCCATAGTGCTGCCATTTTCGCGCCCTCGGTAAGCGAGGAAATCGCGCGAAAATGGTTGTGGCGGCCATTTTGGAACCGCCGATCAGCTGGCCGAAAATGGGGCTGGGGCAGGAGGGCGTGGGAAGGCTCCTCCGCCGTCCTCCCGAGCTCACCCTGGCTTTTTCAGCCAGCTGACTGGCCGGCGCTTGGCCAGGAGGGCGGGGGAAGGCTCCTCCGCCCTCCCGAGCGCATCCCGGCTTTTTTGGCCGGCTGCCCGGCTGGCATTTGGCCAGGAGGGCGGGGGAAGGCTCTCGAGCCCTCCTCCCGAGCGCCCGCCGGCATTTTCCCCCAGCTGACTGCACACTGAATTTAAATGCTGGATATTTTTGTTCTGGAGTGGGCAGTTTTGCTATCCACATAGCACTTTGTAGAAAAAGAAAATTACTAAGACTGATCTCCTTCCCTGAAAAGTTTCAGCACTTTGTAGAAGAACTTGAAAAAGAAAATTGCTAAGACTGATCTCCTTCCCTGAAAAGTTTACTCTCTAATGTAATTTATACACTTTAGAAAGATCCAGAGTTGTTGAAATGTTAAATATTACAGCATTGGATATACAGTGATCGCAAAAGTGATCGTAAAATCTTCGCTATGCGGTTTCGTCATTAAACAGGGCGCCCGTTAAGCGAGGCACCACTGTATTAAAAAATTAAGTTCTGTGGTTGTAGTCCTACATGCTCTGACATGCAGGTATTTCCACCGAGATTGGTTCATCTCTCCCTAAATTAAGCATTCTGGAAATCCCAGAGACAGAGCATGAAAATATTGATTCAAAAATCTAGTGTACTCATAAAAAGCAGTGTTTCCTTTCTCCTTTAGGAAGTTTCATTTCTGGAGCCTCCGCCAGCCCAAGGATGAAACGGCAGGAGGGCGTGGGAAGGCTCCTCCGCCGTCCTCCCGAGCTCACCCTGGCTTTTTCAGCCAGCTGACTGGCCGGCGCTTGG